CCTAAATTCCAGATAGGTTTGAGCACTTCAGAAAAAAAGTGAAGATGTTGAACAGAAATACCATTATTAAGAGTAGGCAGAGAAAGGGACAATACAGTCAGTGATAACATAAAGCTGACTATAAATTCAGGAAGTGTGGAAGATACTTGGTACAGCAAATGATAGTGGAGTTAAATGTGAGTTTGAAAATAATTAGGGAATTATTCCCCAGGCTACGTAGTGGAAAGTCATCATCAGATTCCTAAAACGTAGTCCAGATAGAAGTGAGCAGTTTCGTTCCAGCAAAGGTGAATGGCAAGGGGTAAATATGACATGAGTTAACTTTTTTTTTTTCACGGACAGAATAAGTGCTTCGTAAGAGCCTCTGTTTCTGCACTGATGGTGCCAGATCACCATCTAGAGGACATTTTAAAACACAGACTTGTTATTTGATTTTTTTTTTTAATTTATTTCTCTCCACTGAGGCTGTGTAACACAAACAGCACAAAATACTAGTAACTAGTTAAGTGCAGAAGTGGGAAACACATAACAGTTTTCCTTTCTCCTCACCCCTATCCACCTGCATCAGCCTCATAAAATACCATTTTCCAGTTTCATTCAGAGTTATTTGTGGGCATTACTTTTAAGGAGTGGCTACAAAAGTATTCAGGATGAAGCATGATTTTTCACATCAGGTCATGATTATTGTTATGATCCTATCATATGCAGGTCTCTCTCATTTTATCTCTTTTTAACTTTGAACAAAAAGCATACTCTCACAGGTCCACAAAAGCTTTCATTTTCTTCCCTTGTTTTAGAATCTTTTTAGCTAGCTGTAAGGCAAAGTCCGTAGTGTTTCTGCCTAACAGAGTATAAAATCTTTGTATACCAGAGAGTCCAGTGATGTCACAATATGCCCCAGGGAAGACTGTAGTGCTAGAGAAATTCTGACTCCATTAACTCAAAAGGCTGAGGAGCAAAAGTGTCTCCTGCTGGACAGGATATTTGGATGAGGGGTAATCCAACTCTGATGCTTTCATTGGGATTTACAATCTATCTCATAGCCATGTTCCTGGCCACTTACTGCCTAGTCTACTCTAATGCCTTCCTTGCACTGAAAAGCCAGGGAAACAGTCCATCAGCAGGTAAGAGGAGGAGCTGAAGAGAGCGGGTGAGAGGGGCAAATAAAGACAGAAAATGAGATGGAGGATAGACAAAAGAAGTTGGAGATGGGAGATGGACATAGAAGATAGGCTTTGGAAAGGAAAAAGGGAAAAAACAGAAGAGGAATGAAAAGAAACATGTCAGGGAGCAGCAATGGCTGGCTGCTTCCTAAGGGATGGGGAGCTAGTAGCCAAACATGATAACAAGGCCTACAGGGCAGGGTCATCACCAGCCAGGGCCCAGTTCACGCAGCCCCTGAGCCAGATAGGCAGGGCAAGCCTGGGGAGGGTAGTTAGGGTCAGCCAAAAGATCATCAGGCAAGTCCATGATCATGAGGCAGGTCCTTACCATGGAGGGTTGCAGGGTTCAAGCTGCCCATAAGGAGCTTTGAAGGCCATGTGGTCTTGAGGGGAAGGGTCCATATCATTCATGTGAAGCTTTGGAGGCTGGGCGGGCTTGAGCAGAAGGTCGAAGCTGGCCCTGGGAACATCAGAAGTCAGTTGGGCTTGAAGAGAAGAGTCCAAGCCAGCCCTGAGGAGCACCAGAGGTTGAGCAGCCTTGGGGAAGGTGGTTCACTCACAATCCTGGGGCTGGGTAGACATCTGCACTGTGCAGTGATCAGCACTCAGAGCCCGGCTGCTCCCTCAGATGGGGTTACAGGGGCAAGGCCCTACTCAGCTGGGGGCTTAGCTTCATGGAGTTCAGGTTGGGGCTCAAGAAAGCCCAAGCTAACTTTCAGGGAGCAGCAAGTTCCAGTTGCTTCCTAAGGGATGGGGGCTAGAAGCGGAGCCACTATTCACCAAGGTCTGCAAGCAGGGCAGGCCTAAGCAGAGTAGTCAAGGTCAGTCAAGAATCCAGATCATCAGGCAAGTCCATGATTGTGATGCAGGTCCAATGTCAAGCTGGGAATGCAGGTCAGCAAGTCAGGGTCAGAATTAGGTCTGATGACAAGCAACCAGGGTCAGACACAGCCCAGTGATTGCCACAAAAGTCCAGAAAGATGAGGGAGGTCCAAAGTCAAGCTAGGAAGTCAGTCTGCAGGCCACAGTCTGGATCAACAGGGTCCATGGCCAGGTGTAGCTGTGACGGTGAGGGAGCTGGAGCTGGAGATGGAGCTGGAGATGGAGCTAGAGCTGGAGAGAGGTACACCTGCAAATACCTCAGATAAGGACTGAAGATCCAGGCCTGTTCCTAATGAATGGACAGAAAGTGGGGGTAGAGGCTCCAGGTGAGGCTGGACAGAGCCATTAAGGCCTATTAGTGCACTCAGGACCCTGAGAAGATGAAAGAAAGAATCTGGGACCATTGTTGTAATGAAAAAGTGCAGAAAGGCAAAGAAAGAAGATGTAAAGGAAGGAGAGTGAGGAGAAAGTGAAAAAAAAAAGATTTTGAAAGGCTTCCTTAGAGCCAAGAAATGGCTCTTTTTCATTTAGAGGCTGCCCTTTTCATTATGCCCTGTACTTGTCTTGTACAATGTCTTTTACCCCTGATGAGTTGCTCATTCTTTTTGGGAGACAGTCACATTTGCTACTGCAAATGCATTCTTTCTCATGCTGCCTCTCCTAGTACTGCTCATGGAATGCAGTCTAATAATAAAGTTATCTGCCCAGAAACTGAAAGTTTCTCAAAGTAGTGGTGGAAAGAAGCAGACACTTGGTTCAAAGCACAGCTTCCTCACAGTGTGGTGGAACAAGGGAGCCAGAAGTCCTGTGAGAGTCTTCGGGGCAAGAGTTAAGAGTCTTTCTAAGGAGGAGAAAAATTCTCACAAGATCCTACTTGTGATATGAAGCAGGGTTCCCAACACACAACCTCCTCTGAGATCACACCATTGCTTGACAAAACAGTATCTTAAATGGTTTAAATTGCCCTGTGGCAAACCAGGAAACTACTGCCTCTAATGCCTGGGGAAAAAAAAAAAAAAGGCTGTGCCCTGGAAAAGGTAAGAACTCCCAACTATGTCTGCTAAATTTGGAGCAATGGCTCCAAGATCTGGCACCCTTTCTGAAGGGGTTAGTTCCTCTTGAAGTGACAATAGGACAATAGGTCCATCTTTAAAAAACAGAGGTTGTGGCTTTTGACATGCTGGCTATTCAAGCACCCTTTCCTGGAAAGTGTCTGCACCAAGCTTCTGTTCCCTCCTCCCTCCTCCTGTCTTTCTGCTCCCTCCACTGGCCACCCTTCTCCTGGCTGCCATGCAACAATGAAATTAAGAAATAATAATGAGATGTTGTCCTAGCACAAACCATACCCAGCAAATAGGACTAAAGTGCATTAATTCAGGGAGAATAAAGTCTGAAGAATAGGACCAATATGGGAAGAGAGACAGCAAGACAGGCAAAAGTCAGGGAGGGAGTGTGTTGAGGAGGATGAAGAGGGGATATTGGCCAAATGCAAGAGTGAGAAAATAAGGAAAGAGAAAAGCAATGGCATAAACCAGAAACAGCAAGAGGATGGGAGAGATTCTATTGAGAGAACGGCAAAAAATTCTGCAGGAGAGAGGAGAAGAACAAGTGTTGAACCACAAGACCACATTCCAGTCCCAGCTCTTCCAGTGCCTTATTTCCCGGTAGCTCAGTTCCTCATGTTAAATAGCAATGATGGTGGTCTCCTCCTTCTGGGTGAGTGACCCTGCAGCAATAGCATGCACTTATTAGGGCAAAAGGAGAGAGGTTTACAACAGGTTTGCACACTCATATCCACACACATCAAGGAACCACGCTTCGGAATTCTGAGAACACTATAGGGAGAGTGAGCATAGAGGAATATGCACTGAATGAGGAAGGACAGATGCAAGAAAAGTGCAAGGAAAGCAAGCAGTGAGTGGGAAGGCACGTGAATGAAAAGTTGGATAGTGTGGAGGAGAAAATGGACAAGTAAGGGTACAGTAAGGGTAAAATGGACTTGAAAATTTAGAAAGCAGAGCGAAAAAAAGACAGGGAGGGAATCAGAGATCAGAAGGGTGCAAGTATGAAAGGACAGAATGAAAAGAAAGCTTATGTTGCCACCCCCCCCACCCCACCCCCTGCCCTGAGTTACAGGCTGGGAGCAAATGGAAGAAACATTTGTGGCCTCGTCAACAGGAGAAGGCATGGAGGTGATGGACATGGTGCAGGATGAGGATTCTGAAACGCTGAGGAATTCAGCAGTGAAGGATATGCTGTTGGATCTGGCCGTCTCCCTCAACACTGGCAGCATTGTGCTGTTCTTTTTATGTGTGGCATAGAGCCTGAAATCATTGCTGTTGTCATGGATGAAGACAATTTGAACATCTACTTGCATTTCATCATCACCTACTAGGCAACACAGCTTCTCTTCAACCATGCACATCTCCCAGGGAACCTCCAGCACTGAGGACAAGAGCAGGGACCTTGTGCACATACTGAAAGTGCTTCTTCTCCCTCCTCTCTTGAGAAACGCAATAAATCCTCAGTCCAATACTCATGCAATTTTTTCTAAGTCAGACCTCCCTTCTTGTACCTCCCATCCACTTTTCATGTATAAACGTCATTGTCAGTAACAAACAAGAATGGATTCAACTCACTCAACTTCAAGGGTGATCCTGCTTTTGAAATAGCAAATTTTTAAATTTGTCATACATTGTAAGAGCAGGAAAAATAGCATATTCCAAAGAAATGTTTCTCCTTCCTACTTAACACGATACAAGAAAAGTTAAAAACTCATCAAAATGCAGACTGTGAACAATTTTTGCTTTCTATATATGTTACAAACAAAGAAGCCAAGTAGTCTGTATACAGTGAAATAACTGATAAATTACACACAATGGTGTATAATGTTACATATGATTAATTATTATAGCATCTGAAAGCAAAACCGAACACTATAAACATGTTTCTGGGAAAAAATTGATTAAAAGAGTAGAGGAAGATTATACATTTTTAAAAAGTGACCTTGGAAGGAAAAACACGAGCCTAATTTTGTTATTTTTATGATGGCTAAATAAATCACATGGTTCTGAGGTATTATTTATTATTTGTGTTGGGATAGCAGCTAAGAACTCTGGTAATGCTGAGCACAGTACAAATACAGAGAAAGAGACCTGGCCATAAGGAGTTTATAACCAATGATGTGATATATTTTTTTTTCCGAAGCACATAGCACTTTATTAATATTTCAATCTTTGATTAATGAAAATAAAATCACTGAACAGACTGTTCTTGGAAATTTTTCTGCCACATTGATCAGTACTTGATAAGAATTAAGAGAATTATTAGGATTTTCAGTTTTCATAATGATGGCAGTGATAAGAGATGTTCCCACTTGCCATTCCCCAAGCAATCCCTGGGCAGCCAATATAATAAACAACAACAAAAAGTGCTTCCACCATTAAGAACTGTTTGAAGAGTATGCTAAATGTAGGAGTGCTTTATGTATTAACTTTGGTAAATTTTAGGAGATGATTGATATAAATTCTAAATGATCAGAATCTGAAACTGAAGTAATTAGGTCGCTCTTGAGAAGTGCTTTAAGCACTTCTCCTCCTTTTGTCCTGAAATATATTACTTATATTAACCCTAAAATTCAATTTCAATTAGATAGTGAAAACCTACGTCATCTGAATTCCCCGGTTTGGATGGTAAATATTTACAAATGTAGGGATGAGAGAACCTGTAGGGATGAGAAAATCTGGTTCAGGATCCAGAGAAGTTCTTGGAATTCTGAGTGTTCAGGCTAAAAACCTTCAGAGATCTCTAGGACCCCTTGTGTCTATCCCATACTCCACCTTCACCCATATCCTCACCCTAAATTAGAGACTGAGAAGAAAGAGAATCTTGTTGGGCAGTACTCTCTTCTCAGCTCCTAATCCCTCTTCCACCAACAGGGATGCCTTCCTCTTTTCTCTTTTGTGTCCTAGGAATTTTAGTCTCTCTTTTCTCTCAGACAATACATCCTTCTTTTATGGAAAGGCAAGCAACAGTATTGTTTTGGCTTCTGTTCTTTGCTGCCACCTTCCATAGGGGACTTAGCAAGAAGAATACTTCCTGAACAACACAATACATTGAGTCTGGCATAATCAGATGTGATGATGACTGGTTCCAGTGAACTCGGTTGAAAGAGCACAGATGATGCATGAAGCTAAAACTCTGCTAAATTTCATTTGTGTCAGCTGATTGAAAACAGAGACCAAGAAGGGCCTTTAGTAACCTTCATTATTATGTGACTCATCTGCCAGTCCAGAAGCTGGAGCTATTGAGTCTTTTTTTACTCCTTGTCTCCACTTACTGGCCCAAGAAGAGGATTCTTCCCTCTCTGGTAAGGTAACTGTGTGGTTTGCATAGTAACCTGTAGGATTTCTCCAAAAACCTCTCTGATATGAACAGGTCTTAGGGTTATAGCTTGTTGGCCTCCCCATTCAACATGACTATGAGGTTGTTGGAGTAGACAGGGAAACACACTGAACAGAGGAATTACAAATATAACAGTCCTTTCCTGGACTGTTCACCCCAAGGTGACTGGCTAGTCACCTTGCTACCTTAGAACTTGCTGGACTCCAGAGCTGTCCCAGCTGGGACACTGGGAGCAGTAGAAAGAGATCCTCTTCCCATATGAAATCAAGTTGGAATTTTGCTACAATAAACTGCTGAGAGAGGTGCAAGTTGAGGCTGAGGAAAGGATAACAAGAAAAGGAATGCAGAGGAGTGAATAAGAGCACCATATCTCTCCACAGGGCCAGATAAGATGGTCATACTTTCACAGTTCAGGCCTTTATCTCTCTAGAGTCTCAACTTTCTTCCTGCCTTGCCATGCAGATTACCAGATGTGGCACTTCTTAGCTGGGTTCATTGGTGATCTGCTGGGGCATTGGAAGTGTTCGGCAAAGTCCTGGCTATTGCTGATAGGCCCACAGACACGCAGTTGCAAGGGGCTGTGTGGATCTGTGTGCATGTAAGATTGCAGTTTCTCAGGATGCTGGTGTCCACACATTGCCTGAAGAGAAGCAAAACAGAAAAGTCAGTTTGCCTGAAAGTCCTCATGTGAACAAGTCTTAAGGGTCCCCTTTGTGTCTCTGAACATTCTGCATGACTGAGGCTGCTGAAGTAGGCAAGGAAACACACATGGGGGCCAACAGTGCCCAGATCCTTCCCTTCACAACCACAATTTCCCACCGTCTTCCCCTTCTCTACAATTCTCTGTCTCAGCTTCCCTTTCTGACAAGCCATCTGCTTTCTTTCTAAACTATCTAGTCCAGCACACAGGGAATGTCGAGCACTGGGGAGCTCGGGCTCATGCAATCTTGGACTCCATCTAATGTGACAATACAGATATAACCTCGGTATCTTTAGTTTCTTAAGTAAAAGCCATTAATGCTTACTGAGAAAGAGGAGTGCTTACACAACATCTTATTATTACTAGAGTGGTGGTGGGGATATTATATGATTTTACTGGTGCTACAGGTGAAAATCCAGGTCATCGCTCTGGTGAGTACAGTCTTCATTCACTGACAAATGATGCAGTAGCAGCCACATAGCCTCTGAAATGCAAGTCTTGTCACAGAGATCCAACCATCTGTGATTTCAGGACTGGATTAGTTCTTTTCTACACACTGCTCTGATCGAACGTCACTACATGCACAAAAGTCACAGAACTAGAGCAACTAATAAGGGAGTGACTTTTCTGAGCACAGAAGTCAATGATCTGTGATCAGCAACTCAACTGCACAGCTATGCATAAATCTTCAAACAAGAAAAGAGTTCCTCAAAAATCACCAGCTATGTGCTCATGTACTTCTAGTTCCTTATCTCTAAATGACATTCTAAACTTTTTCACCATCACTCTGAATGATATGACATCTAGTCATTTACCGTGACAGAGAGGTGGATGAAAGAAAGCATAGCCGGATAAGTGCCTTTTCCAGTAAAATTCCACTTTCAATTTGTAAAACTGAACATGATTGCAAAAAAGTTCTCAGAGGCTGGCTGTGATCCACACTTGCTCTGACACAACTTGTCTGCTATAATTTAATTTCGTAGATTTCAGAGCTTTCTTTAGGATATGTTCACAGACAGGCCTCTTGTTATCTTTGAGAGTCACTACAGAATAGGGGCCCCATATGTGAATTTTAGGTTTTTAAATGAGATTCTGAATCTCCCAACAACATTAATCATGCACAGTTCTGTAAAGAAGATGAAAGGGACTTGAACACTGAGAAAGACAAACTATTACAATGTGGAGGACAACGGAGAGGGAGACAGATGCATGACTAGCCTGGAATACATTACATGAGCAAAACTGAGGTAAAAGAGCTGATCATGTGAAAGTCCAATCTTAGGTAAATCCTTCTCTTTTCTGTGCTTTTTCAGCCAGTTCTTATAGGCCTGTGGAGAAAGCAAATTAATAATAATAACCTCGTCTTCAGACAGTTTTCCTAAAACTCATCTTCCATTGATGAAATATATCAATCTAATGAATATTTAATAAATATAACGAGTAGGTATCTCTCTCTGCTCATTCTCAGGTGCTGACCATGCCTCTAATAGATTTGAGAAGGTAAAATATCAATATAACTCCTGTGCTTCCCATTTCAGACACTACCACGCACAGATGGTCAGAAGGAGAGCTGTGGTGACTGCACTATGAAAGGACGAAAATTACTTTCAAAATGAGTCAGTAATACTTGAATAAAAACTAAAACACTTTGCATGTTGTTGCCACAGAGGCCACCAATAAACCTTTGTGCATGTGAACAATCTCGACGATCTTTGTGCAACAAAGTACCATCTGAGACCTAGAGATCTCAGAGCACAGTGCATCCAATAATTAATTAAACTTTTGAACTCCTGCATGAAGAAATCCAAGACTCTTTCTAGACAGAAGTTAGTGCTGAAAGGATTATTATGGGGTTGTTTTAACACTACACAAAATTCTGGTTCTTAGGGGTAATTTAAATGAACTCAAATGTCTCAAGCTTAGTTCCTTAGGTATAACATAAGTGTGACATAATAATTACCTACTTTTGTATGCATGACATAACTGGGGAAGTAAAAAAAGGCCCACCCTGCAATGGGTGAAGGGGAGAAGTGCCCTTATATGATAGCAGTGATTTAAACCTACGACTGGAAGAGCAGAGGACATGCAGGGCATGCACTGCGCTGGCAGAGATGTGCCAGGAGCCTAGGACTGGAGCAGCATGTAGGACAGGGATGCATAGGCAATCTTGCAGCATATTGGTTGAGTTACGTGGTGAGACTGTAAGATCAGAGAAGTAGATAGACTGCAATACCTGGTAAGCAATGGCAAGCCCTCCATTGTCAGCTATATTCTCCAACAGAGTAAAAGTCCCATTGACCTTAAAGCCAAGCATGGAGTAACTTTCATACTGTTCTACCAAGCAATCTATAGCTTCCTGTAGTGCACTCCTCTTGCAGGTAGGACAGCCCCCAGGTAACACTGCAGAAAAAAAGAGAAATCCCAGAAAGTAAAGTTATTTCTGGTGTTCACTTACATTCCCCACGCTAATCACTGATATCCTCAACATGATCTGGAATGGGTTTTCCTTAGCTTCATCTACCTTAGTAATATATGTATATATTGATACAGAGACTAGGATTTAAGATCCCTTGAGGGAAAGTACCCCTGGGGACCTGGAAGAGTAAACAAAGAGGATAAGCTTCACCCCCAGCCAGTACCCACCATAACTATAGAATGTGTGAAGAAGTTCATGTGCCATGAAGACCCCAATGGCTCCAAAGTTCATAGCACTGAAAAATAAACATGAAAAGAATGCTTTTGAAAAGAAAAGGAGGGTAAGTGAGCGTTCTTTCTCTATAGCCACCGAGCACAACCGTGTGCTATGCAGGAGCATTTAACTCTGCAAGAACACAGACACACTTTCTATTTATTGTCTCCCAGATGCAGCACACTCCGTAGAATCCAAATAAAAGTATAAATTACTCTACCAATGTTTGAAATTGTCCCGTGGATTTGAGTTAAAGAACTCCTAGCTCACAAGCCATAATAATAATAAAGAGTCTGTTGAGAAACTGTGAGAGTCTGTCTGAAACACTGACTCTAATGAAAATGTATTGTTGTAGAGATATGCCCTGCATTACCCACTACTGGTTAAACTGTTACATAAACAGTAACTGGCAATGGTAGCATGGTTGGACAAACAATCTGGCAACAACAGGGTGGTTAAAAATGGCACATATAACTGGCAAAACAAATTAAAATCATGAAGGTTTGACTACAAATACTCTGATCACACCTTGGCAATAGTCCCACTACAAGCAGGCAGTTGGACTAGAGACCTCCAGAGGTCATCTATGATTCTATGCAATGAATTTACAAATATTCTCACAAGCAAGAGTCCACTCAAAATGTATTTCCATAATACGAAATGATGAGCTCATTTCTTTCTTACATGTACTGATTAACACTGCAGAAGCATTAAATGAATGTAGAAGATCATTATTATATCACTAGGAAGTCAATAAAGCACTGACAAAAACAGAACAGCTCATCTCTCAGAGCTGCTCTTTCAGAAGCTCTGTAGCTTATAACAATAGTGCTGCTTTCTTATTTTTAAAGATATCCTCAGAGTCATCTGAATTGAAGAATTCTTTTTGACAGTAAAGTTTAAAATTTGGAACATCACATGACAAAAAGCTAGTGTGCCAGCCCACCAAAAGCTGATCAAATTTGACTTCTGACTCTACTGAACTGGAAGAACAGTGAGAAAAAATTTATTTTGCCAACACTGAATTCAAAAGTAGTAAGAAGCTGCAGATCCTTTTTCAGACACAAAGAATATGGTGAGTGAGAACCCATACCATGTAAAAAAAAAAATTTGTTATTATTCTTTCACAGTGTCTTATTCTTGATACTACGAATTTACAATGAATTTCTGAAACACTGCAAGCACTAGAGGATGTTGTACAACTAGTGGCAGAGGATCATCATAGAAAAATAAGAATTATTTTAACTGAGACTTCTGTTTCTTTCCAGCTTAAGCCTCTTCCCACAGTGTGAGCTTATCTCTGGAATACAATGGGTTTTTGACAAGTCTTTATCCATTGTCATGTAAGAAGAAAGGATAAATAGTACTTTTATGATCAACGATTTTTAGTGATTTTAAGATCAGAAAAATTATTGCTAAACAGATCTGTTCAATATGATGGAAGAATCCAACTATAAGAACTGCATAAGAATCATTGTTGTAGGCAAAGCCTCAGAATGCAAAGTGCGCCTGCTTATTAGAAGAGATTTCTTTAAAAAAGAGAAGAGCAGAATTGTATTTCATCCATTTGAAGAGACTTCTGACAAGAAGTTGCTCTGTGAGTCTCCTATTTTCTATGGGTTTCATAGGAATTCTTGAATCTAGAAAATAAGAGGCAGAGGTGAACTATCTTCTTTGCAATTAACCTGCATAAGATTTCTGCCTTTTTGCTCTGGACTCATACCTAATGCCAAGAAATCTGAGAGTCTGATAGCAGTTAGTGACAGATGAAAATATACTCAGCTTAGTTTCTAGATTTTGATTTTGCTCCAGCAGAGTCAACGGTCAAACTCTTTCAGAGCTTATCAGGGCAGAAATGGCAAGCAGTAACCATCTAGCTTCAGAAAAAGCTAAATTTTATTTCTTTCCTCTATTAATAGAGGTTTGCTTTCTGGGATGCAGTGAGAAAAAGAGGTAAAGACAGATCCATTCAGATTCTTCCTGGAAACATGGTGCAGCAAAGGGAACTACATTCAACTTCCACCTTTGCAGTCCCTCCGTACCTGGGAAACTCCGGGTTGAAAAAAGGGCTGCGAAACATTCCGGCAGGGAAGACTACCATGTGCTGCCTTAGTGAGTAGTATGAATGCACATCCCAGGGGGAAACCTTCCAGCTAGAAGCAGAAAAAGAGAAACGAAGAACATATTATCTCCTTACTTCATACCTTGCTCCTTTCTTCCACTGCGTGTGCAGAAATGCCTCAATACCACTTAAACGCAGCAGAGGCAAACACTGAAGTTCACATCATCTAGAGTAAAAGGTGTTTAAAATAAACCTTCACTTGTTTACATACAGCCACTGCTAGTAGTTTAGTTTTCATACACATTAATGGATTCTCCCTTCACAGCATCCCTGTCAAGTAAGTCATGATTATTAGCCGCCTGTAACATGCTGCATAGAGTACTCTTTAGGCAGCCTCAGGTCCCAAGCATGCCTCTCTATACTGCCTGCCTTCAAAAGCATCCTATGTGCTGTCTTTGAGGTAACCACACCAATATTCATGCCAACACAATGCTTTGCTGTCAGATAACTAGGTCCAGGACCACCAGCTATTCCCATTACTCAAGGCTTTATGTTAATGGGCAGAAAAGGCGAGGGTTTTGAGGGTTTTTTCAGGGTCTTGGGCTCCCTCCACAACGGTGGCACTTTTGGTAGCATGAGCTCAGACTGAATACAAATTCGCTACAAGAGAGGCTGCCAGATTAAAGGCTTTTTTGAGAATAAGTCAGCAATGCACCCTTGCAGTGAAAAAGGCCAACAGCACCCTGGGCTGCATTAGGAGACGTGTCACCAGCGGGTCATAGGAGGTAATTATACCCCTCTATTCAGTGCTGGTGAAACCACATGTCGAGTACTGCATGCATTTCTGGGCCCTCAGTACAAGATAGGTACATACTGGAGGGAGTCCAGTGAAGGGCCACTAAGATGATTAAGGGATGGGAGCATTTGTCATACAAAGAGAGGTCGAGAGAGGTGGGATTGTTTAGCCTTAAGAAGATTCAGGAAGATCTTATCTACATGTATAAATACTTGATGGGAGGGTGTAAAGATAATGCAGCCAGACTCCATTGAAAGACAAGAAATTGAAAGACAAATTGAAAGACAGGAAATTCCATTTAAACATAAGAAAAAAATATTTTACTGTGAGGGCAGTCAAACACTGGAGCACGTGCCCAGAGAGGTTGTGGAGTCTTCGTCCTTGGAGATATCCAAAACCTGGCTAGGCATGGTCCTGAGTAGCCTCCTATAGTTGACCCTGCTTTGAGCAGGGGGTTGGGCTAGATGACTGCACAAGTCCCTTCCAACCTCAGCTGTTCTGCAAGTCTGTGAGCCTGTAATTTTTCTTCAATTCAGTTTCTGAAACTTACTTATCCTGTGAGTGATGCTGAAGGAGTCTCTGGTAGGAATTCTCCCTCAGTGTCTTCAAACAAGCCACCACATTGAGGAGAAAAGTTTCTTGATTTATTTCCAACTAAGGGAAGAGATAGGCAATGTGACTGTCACAGGACATAAGTGAAGAATGAATTGGACAGTATGAGAAAGAGAAAAGTCCCAGAAGTAAAGAAAGGGGCTCATTAAAAGACAAACCATTGAAATACTTTTTTTCCTCTCCTACAGAACTTCAATTTAAGGTATGACAGGAAAGATATCTAAAGGCCAAACAGAACATACATCCAAGACACAATCAGTCCCTCCCAGGCCAGCCACTCTGGATAGGAGAAAGCATAGGCAATAAAGCAGAAGCAATGGATACAGGTTCTCTGCACGGTCTATTATCAGAAAGAGAACAGTAGGCTATGTGCCTTGCTCCAGAGATCCTAGCCTCTTTGAGCGACAGGCAAGATAGCAGTTGGTACAGGTAAACTGCCAGTAACGAGGCAGGCATGTTTACATTATATAGCTCACATTCTGGTATTCCAGGTTCACTTTGGCAATCTGGAGTATGTGAGCTGGATAGCCAATTTCCACTTGTAGTTTAGAAACCTGAAAACATAATAAACAAAAAAATAAAGAAACATGACCGATAGGAGGCTTTACATTCTAGAAGCCCTTTTTAAGCTGTATTTCTGAATAATGTGAATATGATCTACAAATCAGCCCTTTGAAATGGCAGCTACACTGTTTCAAGCAATGCATCTCTGCTCTCTGAACTCAATGGCCTGAGGCCTAATGGAGCTCTACTCTTTTTTTGAGCATTGTTTTCTGACATTCAGCTTTATAGCTTTTAACCTCTCTTCGTGTACAAATCTGAAGGTGCAATGTATCCCAATACAATTAACTAGGGGTGTCCATGGACAAACACTGAACCTCTCTACCTCTATGTATCAGTGAATGATCATGTGTATGTGATGGCACTTATAAAGCCACCTACAATTTTTAGTGTGTTTAAGGGATCTGTTTAATATCATGTGTCCGTAGAAGCGCTTAGGAATATGTGAAGGTGCAGGCCTTCTCTAAAAGCTTCAGGGAAAGGAAGGCCTCAGTAACTTATACCTTCCGCACGTACCAGGACGTTAGCCTCTTGGCGGGTCTGCTCATCCATCCACTCCAACTGATGGAGTTGGTCATAGAGGGCATCTCGGATCTCGGAGAACATCTGCTGAGCCTGCCATGGAGAAAAGAAAGTACTGCCAGGACTGCAGAAGAACATTTGTTTAGCCTTAGCTGATGTCTTCCCATGTTCTGACAACTCAATCACAAAACACATGGGGGATGATTCCTCTTCTCTCAATGACAGAGGAAATTCAGTTTCTACATCTGTTTAATCTTAGGTTTCTTAGGCATACAGTGGTCCTTCACTGGTCTCAGCATTCTCTCTCATACACCTTTTCCTCTTGCCTCTCACTGTAAGATGGAGGCATAATTGCTTTCCATTTGATCCCTATTGGGATGGCACCGAATCAAAAGATCTCCCCACTTCTTAAGTGAAATGAAAATTTGGGATCCATAAACATTTCATATTGGTGTCTCCCTTTCCAAAGTTATAGCAACGTGAGACTCTCCTTCACAGTTCTACTTTGTTGATTCAGCTTTGTGCTTCAAGTACACATAGTTTTATTTTCCCACTATCTTTTCTTGGGGTTATTGTTTTGTGTAACTTTTATACACTGCAAACTCCTCATAAACCTCAGTGCCTACATTAATTTTCCTTAAAAAAAAAAAGGAACTCTTATCCTCATAGGAAAAAAAAAAGTGTAGGTAGATGTTCCTTCTATTGTGGATCCACTCAGAACATTTTGTCATTGATGTGTTTTTCTATAACTGTTTACAAACATTATGTAACTAACACTAACTATCATAGGATGGTTTATTGAGTTGACATTGCAAACCTTATTTTAAATCCTATTTTACACTGAGACTGCATGCATTTGTAGGGTTCTCATAGGTACTGGCGCTGCATGCCTGACTTTGTTAGCAGACATAATGAAGATAATTGCTGGTATTTTAGTTTTGATTATTCTAGCAATAAAAGTACTGATGTTCTGACAATAGCTGTCCTTCCCCAAGAAGCAGGAGAAGTATGTATGTACTGAACAAATAAAAAGGTATGCAACCTACACAGGACCTTGCTTCCTTAATCTTGTCCTAAGCTGCCATGGGAAAAAAAAAAAAAAAGAGAGATGCAGCTGAGCTGTGCTTGGGGGAGAAGAGGATGAATACCTACAAGTTTCTTGTTCTGTTGAGGGAAAATTTCTTGCACAATCATCTGCCCTAGGACTGGTTCAAAGAAAGAACTGGTTTCACTCAAGCACGTCCTCCAGCGCTCATCTGGGATCTGTAAGAATAGAGAAAGAAATAGTACCACATGGGAGCAGGGAAGAAGACAGGAAGATGAAGACAGTAGAAAGATATGCAAACCGAGAATCAGTAGCATATATGCTATTATTTAGAAATGACAATCATGAATAAGAAGTAATTTAGTTCCATCTAAGGCACCTCAGAAAATTTTATTTAGGTAAAACAAAGAACTGATTTACCCTACTTACTTTCACACATGATGAGGACTCCTATAGGAGCTGAGACAAACACAAAGAAGACGGACATCTGTGTATTGTTTCCTGCCCCATGATATAGAGCAATCAGCTCTCTAAAGGTTTGTGTGTCACATCAAATTCCACATTATCATCTCTTTGAGAAACAGAAAGAATTTACTGGCATGGCAAGAGTGGTTTTCTTCCCCAGATCTAAGAAACTCTCTCCAGAGGATACATGAAAAGAACATCAAGAAGGAGTGTCCTAGGGTGTTCAGCTGCTGTGGAGGCTGAAGAAGTTGGCAGAAGGCAAACTCACCACTCTAGAACCCATTTTTCCATGAAGAATCTTAGATAGCTCCAGGCGTGCATCTTGGAATCGACTGTCAAGGGCTGGGGAGAGATTCCCAACCAGACAAACAATCATATAGATGCGAAGGACCCTGTAGGAAAAGGGCGTTTTAAAAGATCAATACAAAAGGCCCACTGAAGCCCATATTAAAGTGAGGTCACTTCCTGGCTGGACCACAGCAAGTATTTAAACAGCAATATCATTAACAATCTAGGCCTAAAAAAATGAGAAGAAAACTCTCAGCTCAGAACAGCAAGCAATATTTAATTTTATGAATTAAACATGAATATGAATAACGCTGGGCAGGAAACAGTGTTTAAGCCTACTAGCAGTGCCAGAGAATCATGAACGGCTACAAAAGGAGCTCAAAGTCAATATGGCAAATTTTTGTCACCAGCAGCCACATCCAGTTTGTTAGGTTATGAGGCTGAAGGCTAGCCACCATGAACAAAAAGGCTTGGTGAAATTTTAAGAGGAACAGTGACAGTCAGAGCTCCCCCACTGGCCAAATCAGTGAAAGCAGAGCACCCTGAATGGGCTACTCCTAGGGCTATCAAAGAACAACTGGCCCATTGGCTGAGGTGCGAAACCCAGGGGACATCGGCCAACCACAGAAACTCTCTGCCCGGAATGCCTTGAAGACTAAAGGGGGTTATTGCCTACAGGGCTATAGGATTCATTATGGGAGGCAGGGGGAAGAGCTTTTTAAAACAGTGTGAAACTTACTATAGACAATTTTAAGGGGAATGTGGGAATCTGTGACTTGCTATGGGGTATTTGGAGGAAGGACCAAAGATGGGGAAGGGGAGGGATCATGGTGGATTGGGAGGAACAAGCATGGGAAAATATACAGGCAAGGGGATAAGGGAGATGGCTGAATAAACATATGGCCTGCTGCTACGTTTGTCTGATTGAGCCCTGCACATGATCACTGCAGTCTGTCCTATCTACTCATTAAATCCTATTTATAACTATCTTACGCGCGGGTGTGCTCTTTGTTCTGAGTAGGTATGTGAGAACAGAATCACAGAATCACAGAATGGTTGAGGTTGGAAGGGACCTCTGGAGATCATCTAGTCCAAGCCCCCTGCTCAAGCAGGGTCCTCTACAGCATATTTCCCAGGATCGCGTCCAGGCGGGTTTTGAATATCTCCAGAGAAGGAGATTCCACTACGTCTCTAGGCAACCTGTGCCAGTGCTCTGTCACCCTCCCGGTCAAGAAGTTTTTCCTCATGTTCAGACAGAACTTCCTGTCTTTCAGTTTATGCCCGTTGCCTTTTCTCCTGTTACTGGGCACCACGGAGAAGAGACTGCCCTCATCCTCTCGACACCCTCCCTTCACATACTTGTAGACATTGATGAGATCGCCTCTCAGTCTTCTCTTCTCCAGGTTAAACAGGCCCAGCTCTCTCAGCCTTTCTTCAGAGGAGAGATGCTCCAGTCCCCTTAGCATCTTTGTAGCCCTCCGCTGGACTCTCTGCAGTAGTGCCATGTCTCTCTTGTACTGGGCAGCCCAGAACTGGACACAGTACTCCCCAGGCCTGAGTAGAGGGGGAGGATCACCTCCCTCGACCTGCTGGCAACACTCTTCCTAATGCAGCCCAGGATACCATTGGAACACTAGTGAACTTCAAGCTGGACCAGCCAATGAGTAGGATAAGAGGTCTGAGTACCCACAACTGGAGTCAGATCATGCAACTTGGGAAAATGCAAGCTGAAGTACCAGCACTGGGGAGACTGGGAGGTCTGGGACCAGCTACTGGTTAGACTGAGTGCCAAAGATCAGCTACTGCAGTGATCTGTATTGTCTGAATGTACCTATCCAGACAGATAGAGAGATAAATAGATATTCCACTAGCAGACTTCAATCCTGATCAGCTGGAGATTAGGAATAGGATTCGGTCACTTGGGACTGTTCATGTTTGTATGAGTGCTGTGAGTGTGGCAGTAAAGGCCCTGTGTTTTGTTTCTATTGATCTGTGTGGCCAGCTGTTTATATATATATATGTAAAATACTATATATATTATATATGTATATATATTGTGTGTGCATGTGCAAGCCTACTGGGAGTTGTGCTAAGCCTCACAATTGGCTGAACCTGGGGATACAGAGCCACAGCTGCCTTGCATCCATTAGGCTACTGGATGCAGCAACCTCTTCCACAGACCCCTTTAATTTATAGTATCTGAAGTTAATATTTCTTGAGGCAAGAACAGCTACTATCACAGATATTAACTCCTACCTTTTATTCTGCCATTGTTCAATAAGCCGTGACATGCCTTGCAAGTAATCCATGTCGTGCACTGCAATTGGCTGAGAGGGATTCACTGGCACAGGATGGAAAGCTGCCTGGAGACACAGCAGCCAGTCAATCGCGGGTGCCTTTTCCTAAAAGTAAAATAAAGTTTACATGCTGAACTATAAACCCAGGTTAACTAATAAGAATTAACAGGGAAACTGGGATACATTCCCTGGTACCAGTAAGGGATATTTTCAACAAGTTGAGCTGTGGTTATTGGATGGATATTGATTATAGTAGAAAAAGACAGAAGACATATTTTTATCAAACTATCTGGTGGTCATGGTGGGGCTGAGGACCTGAAAAGCCCAGCATGCTACCAATAAGAAACAGTAAGTTAATAAGTTATTGAGAGCTCATGAGAGTTCAACAGACTCTATATATAAGCTGCAAGGGAATGGCATCTAAACAAGGGATCTTATATCACTTTTGATCTGGATCTTCCAGATATGAATACCTGTAGCTCCCTGATGGTGATGCGATAGAACAGCATCCCTCTCTGCCGTCTTTCCTGCAGTGGGGTGACAACTCGCTGGAGGTTAGAGATGAAGGACAAGGTAAGGGAAAAGGAGTCAGGGGGAACATCCTGTGGCCCTCCAAGTAGGTCCCCTAGTTTCTCCAAATATGACAGATACACACGGAGAACCTGCAATACAGAGCACACAATCAGTCGGAGAAAAATGACTGAAATTAAGTCACCCCATCCATCCATCCATCCATCTCAGCCACACAAGCTTCAGTCTCTCAAAATTGCCTCAGTCCTGCCCCTAAAGCTGTCTTATTCATTGCAAAATCCTTATCTAATTCTTTATGTGGAACAGAGTTTACTGAGCACAGCTTCCTTCTCAAAGAAGAACACTGAATTCCCAGTGAATAATCATCTTATTTTTGTCCCAACTTACAACCATTTTAAATACCACTATCATTTTAGGGCTGCAGGCCTGCCACCTCTGGTAGAGAGAAAGGCAGTGGACAGTGATACAAAGAGTCAGTATTTTGGATGGAGATGAAATAGCAGATTCTTGCTTCTGTTTTCATGAGCTATCAAGGAAATGTTTGTGATGGGTAAATAGGTTCATTTTTTAAGGACTCTTTTGAAAGAGTCAGACTCAGAAACTGAAATAAACTCAGTTTTGCTGCAGTTTAGGAAAATGAGAAAGTTGTGATGAAAAAACTTTGTTGCAATGACTCCCAAGGCCAAAGAGCTTTTTTTCCTCAGCTTAGGGTTAAAACTTTTACAAATAATTTTGAAATGCTAGCTACCCCTCCCCCAATGCACATACATTTTAATCAATATGTTATAAAGCCTTACTGTGGACAAGAAAATTTTGTTGAGAGATTTACTCAAGAGGAAACCTAAGGGGAAACCTTGATTCATATTACCTAGCAAACACACATTAAACTTATAACATGCTCTTTCTGGAAGTTTAAAACTTGTCAGCTAAAAATATGTTACCTTTTACAAAATAACTTTTTAGTGAAGTAGACAATTTTGTAGCAAATTCCTTCTGGAGACATTTTTAGAGGTCACTGTCCATACCCCATGAAAACAGGCCACTCTGAACCAGGAGAAAATTCAAGGAGATCCCTACAGCAAACAGCTATTTTTACCTTGCTTCAGCCTCTGATATGTTACCTCAAGATATTTCTTCTTCTCTTTGAATTCACTCTCAGGTGGCATCTCAAACTCAGGATGGTCAATCTGCAAAAGTAGTGCAGGAAGAACATCTGGCTATTTCCAGAAACATTGCAAACATGACAATAATATGTTCAGCAG